GAGGAAATGAAGGAGATACAAAGGCAAGTGGATGAGCTGTTGCAAAAGGTATTTGTTAGGGAGAGTCTCAGCCCATGTTCGGTTCCTGTCCTCTTAGTCCCAAAGAAAGATGGAACATGGCGCATGTGTGTGGATTGCCGAGTTATTAACAAGATAACGGTAAAACATAGACATCCTATCCCCATATTAGATGATATGCTTGATAAATTGCATGGCTCTCAATTATTTTCTAAAATTGATTTAAAGAATGGTTATTATCAGATTCGCATGAAAGAGGGAGATGAATGGAAAACTGCATTTAAAACTAAATATGGATTGTATGAGTGGTTAGTAATGCCTTTCGGTTTAACTAATGCACCTAGTACATTCATGAGGTTAATTAACCATGTCTAGTGTGCTTTCATGGAAAAATTTGTGATAGTTTACTTCGATGATATTTTAGTTTACAGCAAAAATTTGGATGAACATGTGAAACACTTGCATGCTGTGTTTAGTGTGTTGAGGGAGCAACAATTGTATGTCAATCTTAAGAAGTGCTTGTTTTGCATGGAATCTGTTTTGTTTCTTTGATTTGTTGTTAGTTCGCAGGGTATTAGTGTTGATGAAGAAAAGGTAAGGGCAATAAGGGATTGGCCTACACCTAAGAATGCAAACGAGGTGAGAAGTTTCCATGGTTTAGCAAGTTTTTATCGAAGGTTTGTTAAAGATTTTAGTTCTATTGTAGCACCTTTGAATGAACTTGTTAAAAAGAAAGTTGTTTTTAAGTGGGATGATGTGCATGACCGAGCTTTCAAAACTTTGAAAGGTAAGCTAACTAATGCACCTTTGTTGTGTTTGCCTAACTTTGATAAAGCTTTTGAGATAGAATGTGATGCATCCGGGATTGGATTATGAGTTGTTTTGATTTAGGATTCCAAACCAATTGCTTATTTTAGTGAAAAGCTAAGTGGGGCAGCGTTGAATTATCCTACTTACGACAAGGAGCTTTATGCATTAGTGAGAACTCTTCAAACATGGCAGCATTACTTGTGGCCAAGGGAATTCATCATTCATTCCGATCATGAGAGCTTGAAGTTCTTGAAGACTTAAGGTAAGATTAATAAAAGACATGCTAAGTGGTTGGAGTTCATAGAAACGTTTCCTTATGTAATCAAATACAAACATGGGAAGGAAAACATTGTGGCTGATGCATTGTCTAAGAGGTACGTATTACTTACAGTTAGTAAACGGTCCTGTATACGCAGCGGAAACAAAAAAAAAAAATATAACAGGATCGTTTACATGAGCCAAGATCAAGGGTATAATTTTACAATTTTATCATAATAAGAATCTGCAGAAATATTAAACATGAGTTAAAAGAAACAAACGCACGTTGAAGGCTCCTCCAAATTTGTCGACTAATGTTTTGTTACCAATCCAAGTGTAGGATCGAACCTGCGTAGTCCACACAAAGACAATGTAAAACCCCTCCCTAGCCGAGTATTTCCTAAGTATCCCTTGGCCATTGAGAACCTAGAAAACGCACACCTAGGAAAGAAGTTTATTTTATAATCCTATTTAAAGAATAAACTTGTAGTTTAAAAATATATCTATTTTTTTTTTATTTAATTTCTAAACTATAATAAGTTCATTGTACAAGTCAAAAATATAGTTTCCTTTCTTGGAGTACATTATGAAATCCATAGTAGTACTAAGATCCTTTGCAAGGAATTGGTGGTCCAATGACTAGGGCAAAGACAAAGAGGATGAAAGAGGCTTTGCAAGGCTTGATCATGGAAGTGCAATACAAAGAGGCTGTACAAGAAGACTCTAAGACTAAATTCGAAGATTTCAAAGCTTCACCAAGGATGATCTATTATCTATTTACGCAAGGGGTAGATTCGGAAGATCAAGTTGGATGCGAAGATTAATTTAGGACTTAATTTGCGTTTTTTTTTAATCTTGGGTTTTTTTTTTATGTTTTAATTATCATTAGATTCTTTAGTCTTTTATTTATTTAAGGTTTATTTAGGCCAAATTCACTTGTACTAAAGCCCAACCCGTTTTTCAATTAGCTAGGGTTTTTTTTAGGGTTTGCTGCTTATAAAAAGGGGCAGTCAAAAAGCTATTTGCTTGCCTTCTTGTATTCTTGAATGAATGTTTGAATCTCGACTTATCAAAGGGAGTGATCAGCCTTTGTGGCGTCTCAAAGTTAGGGTTTTAAGGACTTAGTTTCCTTAGGGTTCTAATTCGATCATCCTCAACACGTTCCTAGCAAACTAACTTGTTCCTATTCCATTGAGTTCGTGGGTTCCTAGGGTAATTCGCCTAGAGGGTCTACATCAAAAGAGCTAAACCAAATGTTGAACGATACAACAATTATAAGTCACTCTACCAGATCCAACAGAGCTTTTGAAATTTATATATTCAAATTCAAATATGTAAGGTTTACTCCTCAATAAGATGGCAATGCTTGCTGCACTGACATCACCATGTTTCTAGCTCTTGAAAAGAGGACTCTTAAATATTAGTCAAGCACAGCCAATTCAAAGTATGTTGACTCCCTACTAGCTTTGAACCCAAATTTTCATTCATTTATTCAGCAAGAAGCAATTGCTGTGAGAAGTATTATAACACATCTACTAGCAATAGAAAACAAGAGTGTCCAAAAATGAGAACAAGAAGATCTGCACATAGGCAAGATGCAGTCAATGGGTGTTAAGAGATAAAGAAGAAAGTTACATGAGTAGTGAGAAATAATAATATGTGAGAGAATAGAGCATGTAAATTTAAGAAAATTACAAACACAAATCAAAAGACCACTCACATTACAGCATTGCTATACACAATTCCACCCTTCAGTAGGCTCAGTCTCTCAGGATTGTGGCCAATTGTTCGATCATCGACTGCCTGCAAGTTAACAGATATTAGAAAACTAGAAGCTTTAGCTGTTTACAAGAGTATATTGGAGTTTAACTGGAGCGATAGGTGAGTAAAGCTTAACAGAAAAAAGAAAATCAAAACCATAATCTGAGTTCTCAAAGATTTTAGCACATTAAAACTTAAAATAAATAAATCCATGGCGGAATGAACCAAACATCTTTTCATTAGGAGATGAGAGTAATAGATAAGACAATATAAAAATCTTTATTCCTTTTGGAAAATTCATTGCCATGAAAAAAAAATCAATCCACCTCTTTGCAGCAGAAAAAATGCTACCATAACAAACAAGTACTGGTTATTTAGAATAATCTGATGCTTCAATGCTATATACTAAGTATCTACAAATACGGGTAATTGACAAATTAAAAATTAAAAATGTTGTATGATATCCACATAAAAAGCTCACCTTGTCCTCAGTTCCATATATAGATCCATCAAGACCACATTTACCGAGTTGCTCTTTTCTACAAACATAAGAAACACGCATCTTAAAGAGATGGGAAAAAATACAAGATAAGAATAGAATTTATCAACATTTTGTTTATTTATATTATCGCGTGCCAAAAATACACAAAGACACAATAACACCAATCTCCAGCATTTACAAGCTAGTAACTTTGCAGGGACCATGAAATATCNGGTTATGAGGCTAGCACAATGAAAGGGTGACAGGTGTGAAGAATTGGTTATGAGGCTGGCACAATGAAAGGGTGACAGGTGTGAAGAATTGGTTATGAATTTGTTTGCTGGTTGGCACAATGAGGAAACGACAGGTGTGCTAGATTTGTTGCAAAAGGAAGCTGGAAGCAAGTATAAAAGGGGAACAGTAGACGTGCTGGAGCATGGAGAATTAGAGAGATAAATTAGAAGGAGCTGACCCTCGAAGATCAGCAGTGCTTGAGTCCATTTTCATTTCCGTTTATTTCTTGTTTTAGTATTTTCAATCAAGTGTTGTAAAACACATTTCCTTTATGTTCTGTTTTATTTCCATTATGTTTCATTCAGTTCTTCTGTGCTGTTTTCTACTAAATATTATCAACTTTCTTTAAGAAATTCCAGTATTATTTCTGAAGCTATATTCTGTGCATTAACTTGTCTCTGTCAACACGTGAATTATATTGCTGTTTGCTGGTTTATGCTGTCGGGTTTCATTAGGGTAGAACTCTCCTTGGAAGATTGGCTTGCCAAGGGAGGGTGCTCAAGCCTTTATAACCCACATGCCCACCCTTTTCCCTTCCAATGTGGGATCCTAACACACTACCACACTTCCACAACCGACGTCTACGTCGGCCTCTTTACCCCTTGGGTGACTACACGAATCCCCTTTACCTCGGGCCTCCATGCCTTTTCAGCCCAGGCCTAACGTTAGCCTACCATGTAGGCGAAATCCACTTGAGCACAGGATCATACTCTGATACCAACTGATAGGAACCCAACCCAACAACTCAAACAATTGGGTTAGGTCATAGTTCTTTCATAGGCTTGGGTAGAACCCTCCTTAGAAAACCGGCTTGCCATGGGAAAGTGTCCAAGCCTTTATAATCTACATGCCCACCATTTTCCCTTCTAATATGGGATCCTAACATATTCACAAAAAACTGTTTATAGAAGATGAGATTCAATAGCAAAAGGCCTACAGAATAGTTTTCTGACAATCAAACTACAATTAAAATACTATTCGATTGCTTCATGCGAACTCTCTTCGTTAAATAATCAATCCCAATCTCTCATCCAATATAATTCCTGACAAAATAAATCTTAATTGTCTCTCTCCCTCCTATCCTCTCATGATCACAACATTCCTTTCTTTAATAAAACTCCCTAATCCCAGTCAAATCTGATTCCTAATCCTTCCTCCCTTCTTTTTCTCTCTCTTTCTCTCTCTCTCTCTCTCTCTCTCTCTCTTGTAGACACAGATAACACACAAAGAAGCAAAAGATCTTTCTCAGGAATTTCTCCCCATTTTAAGTATACTACAAAATCTGCTACTTTTAATTAGTATCACTTTTGCTTGGAGGATGCATCTGCTATGTTTTTCAGATAAGTTAGAAAACAAATGTTGAATGGTAGAAAAAATATTGTTACCATGAAACTTAGCAGGTAAGAAAACATCGGTAGCAGGGTTCCAAATCACAGTGTCAATCCCATTTAGAATTCCGAAATACCTAAACAATAACATAGTACTACAATGTCAAATATAAGAAGGAGAGTGATCAAGCAATCAGCAAATGAGCGAAAAAAAGGAAGCCAACTATTCATTGTAATACAAAACACAGCCTTAGCCATGCAGTAAGCATTCCAACAAAGTTTATACTAATATTAATTCCCAGTTTCAGTATAGATTGACAAAGTAAACAGCACTAATTGTAATTTCCTATTGTCACATAGTTTCTGATTTGTGAATACGACCCATAGTAACAAACAGAAAAAAAGTGCTTGGATAATGAGAAAGATTATATCCAATGACAGGTATTAGTTTAACGCCAAAACTTGTAAAGTCCTTCACTTTTTCCTTTCCAGTTAAAGAGAGTATAGGAACCTGTGAGTGACATTGCATGATTAGTTACTTGAGAAGAGCGGTACTAAAGCCACCACACTGGAAAGATTTGATGTTCCAATGCTAAAGTTGAGTTTGGTAGTGGCAATGGAATTGAGACCAAGGAATTGTGTAAGGAAGGAACTAAAGAGAGGAATAACTTCCACTGTTTGGTTGCAATTAACTGAAGGCATAAGCAACGTACTGAATCCATTATGGCAATTGGTTAACTATCGAAAAAGAATCAAATACATATTCTTTTAAAAGAACTACTCCTAATATGAACATGCATTAGGCCTATCATTGACCTAAAAATTCCATATTGTATTACATGAATCGCTGTTTTCATTTTTCAAATAAAACAATATATCCGATACTGTAATGATTCCTAACATTTGATAAAAATTCGGTAACTCAAAAGTATCCAATTTAACAGTAGAAATTACTTAAGACACTAAAAACAATCATAAAAATTATGCTACAAGATCAGTTGATATTTTAACAATACTAAGGAGTAAATGTCTAAAGAAGATTCCATAGAGAGTAAGATGGTGTACAGGCAATTTAACATTTTTCAATTGATAACAGATGGAGGTACTACAATGTACTAGGAAAGAGAACCAATATCAAAGCTCTAACAATCATTAACTGTAAGGAAATCATCTGATTAATGGTTCTAGTAGATACAACTGTATTATGTTGCCAACATATGCACTTGGCAGGAATATTAAGATTTTAAATCCAAGTACTGAAAAGAATATAAATACATATAAGCAAAATGTATTGAAAAACTCACTTGTCACGATTTCTTATTAATGTGCTTGCAAGCCATCCAGAGCAAAGTGTCTCTTTAAGATACGTTGGAGAGACTGTACTGAAGAAGAAGAATTACATACTCGATTAGGCAAAAGATTTAAGGAGTAAGTCCATGCACTAGTTTGCACTGTTAGTGAAAACGGATACATTAACATTCAACTTAAATTCAATCTCTGCAGTTCATTTTTTATTGGAGTATGTGTCTCTATGCGTGTGACACCGGTTTTGGATATAGGAAGACCATGGATTTTGAATCGCTGAGAAGCCTGGAAGTTTTTCAAAGAAGTCTTATTCCAACAATCTGCTTGATACCCTAGAAGTCCAAGTATCTAATGCTCTAAAATGATACATAGACCAATAGTTCCTAGAAATGTCCAAATTATGGCTTAGTCTATCGCTCACAAAAAGATCAAAACTAATGATAAGAAATCCTAAATCTATATCTCTTTAATATGTATGATGTGCAAGAGGAACATTGAAAGCATTGATCACCTCTTTACACTGCCCAATTTCCATGCACCTTTAGCTTATCCAGTTCAAGGCTTTTAACTCAGATGAATGCTGCCTTCCTCTAGTTCCATTCTTATTGATAGCCACATGGATTGGAAAGAGAATAATAGAGCAATAGTCCTGTGG